ACAGGTACCTAAGTCAAGATGCACCCAATTGCACTGCAGTAGAGCACTACTTTTCCAGTAACTTACAAGTGAAATGAAACTGGAGAAAAGGGTGAGACATTCAATTCAGTAGCCACACTCATTCCTCAATTCAGTACACTGAAAGATCACAATCTGATTTTCGCAATACTCAACAGAAAGACTCTTTGTCTGCATGCATATATGCACACCATAGCAAACTCTGTTAGCGTTACCACAGACAAGCACAGAAAGCTGAGGAAGACTTAAAAAGGGGAAAATCAAGCAGGTTTGAAGACGTTCTACCAAACCAACTGTGAAATTTGATGTACAGTGATAACTTATAAAAATCCAATTGCAAGCCTAGAGTTCAAAGCATTTCCAAAATAGCAGGATTTTCTTAAGAATGTAACAAAACTCAAATCAGCACAGCTGCACATAATTTGATGAATGGTTTATTGGGCTGCCGCTCTAGAAAGCTTTTAGAAGAACTGAGCCCAGTACATCTCATGCCTCCAAATGACTTTCAAAACCCCACTTAGCAGAGGAGGGGAAGAAAAATATGACAGAATCTTCAATATGGGCAGGCCTTAGGAAAAAACCCATAGGTCATAGACTCAAAAGAAAGAATATTAAGGATTATTTGAACTGGTAACAAAAGGACAGGATTTCTGTTTGGCTCCCCCACTAGAAACAGCAAGTACAATAATAGAAGCTGAGGATGTAGCAATTGAAACAAGAATGGATGCTGCATCAGAGCAGACTGGGTTGGGCAATCCATTGGTAATTCACATTGCAAGATCCAGAGGGAAAAACACTGACACAGAAGTCCCCATTCAAAATGTTTCCTTGAGCCTACTGTAAACTAATTATACAAGAACCCCCCCACTCCCCCCAAAATGAGATCTGGATAAAGCAGGGAAACCCAAAGCCTGAGTAAACAGAGGGCACAAGAAAATGGGAGAAACAAATACATTAATATCCAGGCAGTTTTGCCATAGGCTGTGGATGATGATTCCTTAGTCTTTCTTTCTTCCTTTTCCTCTGCATCATCAGCCATCAACTCCTTTGTCCCCAGTGTCATCCTTAGCTTTATAAATCTCCTGACATCCACACGTTTAAATCCTCCCTGAATTCCAACAATAATACCCATGTAGGGAAGGTAGGCTAAGGTCACTTATCCTCATTACCGAATGGGAAAGAAGTGTATTGACTAAGTCAGTTATATGGCAACAAAACTTGGAAAAGAATTCAAGAATGTCTGCTTTCCACCCCTGAACACAGTCCAAACTATGCTGCTGTTATAGTGCTAGAAAAAGTAGCTCTTCTTAATAACAGAAAACCCTCTCCCCACCAGCACACTTCAGTGCTTCCACTGAGCATGCATTCTGATAATGGCATGGCATCTTCTCTCTCCTGGTTTAATGACTTCAAAAGGTTTTTTGCTTCCTCCTGCATCAAAGAGCACCTTTTAAAACTCTGGAGCATTCCATCCTCTTGGATCCATCTCCAAACTATGCAGGTATCTTTGGGTCCCCTATATCATGGTTCTGCTCCTACTTAATACCGATGGTTGCCCCTACCAAGATTTGTCCGTCCCTGTACAAGTATCATGATTAAGCTCTGCCCCTTTTCTTTCAGTTTTATCGTCTTCATAATTAGCTTCAGTTAAGACTTATAATAAGGAGCTATACGTATATCCACCCTCCTTTGCCTTTAAGGATTCATTTCTTGACATCTCCTTAATCCATCTTGACCTACCATATTTGCAACTCCATCACTACTTCATTCAGATTAATGTCTGAAGTCCAATAATTGTTTCTTTTCTTGGGTAGGAAAAGAATGTTCCAATCCAAATCCAGCTCCTTGGGCCTTCATTCAGGCCTCTTTTGTTTTTGCCATTTGTGACCTTGATAAATTTTCATAGATTTTATAGACATTAGGGCTGGAGGGGACCTTGAAGATCAGAGACTCCAGCCCCCTGCCCCAGGGGCAGGAAGTCAGCTAGGGTCAAAGGATCCCAGCAAGATAAACATCCAAACGTTTCTTGAAAGAGTCCAGAGTAGGTGCCTGCACCACTTCTGGAGAGAGTCTATTCCAGGCCCTGGGGGCTCAGACAGTAAAGAAGTTTTTTCTTATGTCCAGCCTAAAACGGTCACGGAGGAGTTTATGACCGCTGGTCCTTGTTATCCTTTGGGGTGCTCTGGTGAACAGGTGTTCCCCCATATCTAGATGCACACCCCTTACATATTTATAGGCAGCCACCAAATCACCCCTCACCCTGCATTTTTCCAAGCTGAAGAGCCCCATGGCTCTCAGCCTCTCATCACAAGGCCTATTCTCTTGCCCTCTGATCATGCACATGGCTCTCCTCTGGACTCTCTCAAGCTTCTTGACATCCTTCTTGAATTGTGGAGCCCAGAATTGGATGCAGTACTGCAGCTGCGGCCTCACCAAGGCCAAGTACAGTGGGAGGATAACATCCTGGGAGTTACTTGAGAAGCATCTATGGATGCAGACCAGCGTTTTGTTCGCTTTACTAGCTGGAACATCACATTGGTGGCTCATGCTCATCTTGTGGTCAATCATGACCCCCAAGTCTCTTTCAGATGTGGTGCTAGCAAGCATAGCACTACCAAGCCTATAAGCATGCTGTGGGGGTTTTTTTCCCCCTGAGGTGGAGTACCTTGCATTTTTCGGTATTGAACATCATCAGGTTTATATCTGCCCACTTACTAAGCTTATCCAAGTCAGCCTGGATCACTAGCCTATCCTCAGGTGTGGATGCTATGCCCCAAAGTTTAGTGTCATCAGCGAACTTGGCCAGTGCGCTTCTGACACCAATGTCCACATCGTTGATAAAGATGTTGAAGAGAACCAGTCCAAGGACAGAGCCTTGGGGGATACCACTGGTCACAGAGCGCCATGATGATTTGCATCCATTAACTACTACTCTCTGGGTCTGACCTCGGAGCCAATTTTGCAGCCATCAGATTGTGGTGTAGCCGAGGCCACATTTGGCCAATTTTTGCATAAGGTGATCATGAGACCAGATCAAAGGCTTTTTTAAAAGTCCAGACTCTTCTCCCTTGTCCAGGTGATATGTCACCTGGTCATAGAAGGAGATGAGATTGGTCAAGCAAGACTTACCCACGACACACTTGTGCTGGCTGTGTCTCAGGATGTTGCCATCAGCCAACTTATCAAGAAGGGTCTCTTTGATAATTTTCTCCAGAATCTTACCGGGGATTGAGGTCAAGCTGATTAGCCTGTAATTCCCAGGATCTACTTTCCGCCCTTTCTTGAAGATGGGTAGAACACTGACCTTCTTCCAGTCTTCAGGTACTTCACCTGAGTGCCACGAATTTTCGAATATTTTTGCCAAAGGTTGGGCTATGACACCTGCCAGCTCCTTCAGTACTCTAGGGTGTAATCTGTCAGGACCAATCCAAAACTCCTTTTCTCTATTCACATCTGTGACACCATATCCATTTGCTGCCCCCTCCATTGTCTTGCCTCTACTTTACTACAGTGTTTTTTTCTTATGGCATTCTTAAAGCCAGGTTCTCCAGGCAACAGTATGTACACATTCTGTTGCTACCATCTTGTAAGTTACAGACAAATGACTATTACTATCCTCATCCCTAATACCTGCACCTGTTTGTTTCATTTCAAAATACAGTTTAGAAATACCCTTGTACTAAAGCCCTCAAGAGATTTGGCTCAGTTGAACTAGTCTCATGAGACATAACCTACTTATTTTAAATAATCTGGCTATTATTGGTACAAAATCTTTTCCCATTCAGCTCATGCCATCTGCAATAGTTGTGCCGTATCTCTCCATTTCTATTCAAATCTCAGATGAAAAATGTTTTTCTCCTCTGAATATCTTCACCTGGATTACTTATTGTCCACTATGTGGTGCATCTGTATTAAAAGCATTAGATAAAATTTAAAATTGGATCTTTATCATTGGTAAATAAAACTAAATAAAGCCCAATACTTACCAACTTGGTATTTGTTGGACGAGGCTGTGCAGAGACAGGTCGCTACAAGAAATAGACAAATGGAATAAAAATCTCGTATTATTCCAAAACACCTTCACCCTTCCCAGCATGCTGCTTTGAGGAAGTAGTGGGTGCCCTGTAGTGAAAGGCATAGCCAAAGTCCAGGCTGACTGCTAGAAGCTCCATTATGCTACCACAGATCTTGACCTGAGCAAATTACATTCTACTCTTTGAACCCACAGCAGTCATCTGAACTTTTAGACTAATGCTCAAATATTTAGAGCTTTCTGGGTACGTGCAACAATCCTCAAGGCAGAGGCAAAAGACATGCAAATTGTAAGGAACTTACCCCAATCGTTAAAACCAAAATTATCTACATATGTTTTTCTTGCATTAACACTTAACCAGCTATTTAGGGGAGCAGATCATCAATGCTCTCAAGCTGAACTGTTCTGAGATGAGAGGGAAAACCTCAACAGGGAAACCTCCAAGGGGCCCAGAAGCCATTTGATTTAAATTCCCCAAAGATATTCCAGTTCTGATGGTGAAATGGGACTCTGTTCAACATTCCATTACAGATGCAGAAATAGTAAAAAGCGGTACATCACAGCAGTCTGTGAGAGTACATAAGCCTCCTGTTGGTGCTTATGCAAGTCTAGCTCAGTAGTGCAGGTTGGGGGGCTGAGAATTGGAAATAAGCGGAAATAAGCATCTGCATAACAACAGAGATTCTTCCTGCCTTTGGCTGTCACCAGGCTGCCACCCTCTTCTCTGATACCAAGGAAAAGCAAAGGGCTTGCCAACATTATCCTCAATTGATCCATTTGTCAGTTCCATGAAGCACCATTCTTTAATCAAAGACTGTGGGTCCTTGATGACTTAGGACTCGTTGAAAAGATTCCAACCCCATCAGCAGTTATTTAACAAAGGAAGCAGAAAATTGCTCCATTTATCTGGAAATTACCAGTGCTCCGTGTCTCAACCAAAAGAAATCACACAATGAATTGGCAGTACAGTTTGGAAGGACCCAGGGAACAGAAGCCATCTTTAACCATCCCCAGATCAAGAATTCTAATTTCATTATTTGTTCCCAGCAAACAGAGCCTTGCCCATGATTAGTGGTCACATACACAAAACAATTCAAACCTCAGAGATCAAAGAACTGAAAATGTCTCAGAATTCCCTTTACTATAGGGAATGAGAGTGGAAGAGTTGAGGATGGAGCAGAAACCAATGTCAAAGAGCCTCCCAAAAATAGCAAGCCAAAATGTTCTTGGTTACTAGAGAAAACCCTGTTCTCACCTCTGTCCATGGAATCCCCTGTAAAGCCCAGAAAATCCTGCTGATTTTCCTTGCTCATTTCCTATATGGCTCGTCTCAGCAAGCAGAGCACAAGCTGAGATTCCATCATAAAGAAAGGACACTGCTATTTCATGACCAGTGTTTAGTACTCAACCTCTCTACTTTTTAGTTGACCCAAAAATTACTCTTTATAGTTTTATGAGAAATCCCCTGTGTAAGTCAAGAGCCGCTGAAAACCTGGTGTTTGATTTTTCCATTTCTCTTTACTATGAGTTCAGGAAAACGTGTTCAAGAAAACTGAATGAACTTTGCAGCAAAGTCTGGTCTAGCTGCTCCACGGAAAAGAAATTACTTACCTTATAACTCATTTTCTGAATATGTTCCCACTGGTAGAGATTTACACTACTAATTGGCCCCCACAGTGGGGTTTTACAGAAGCAACATCACAGAAAGAAAAAGCACTGTGCTCCTCCCTCAGAATAGATGTAGATCCTCATGACTTTCAGCATCCATCTATTGAACTAGAGCCTCAGCCAGGTATTCCTGTGTCTCACTTCATAAACTAATCTCACCCTCAGGGTGATTCCAAATCCAGACTCTGTTTTGGCAGAATTTTGAGAGATGCAATTTATTACAACTGATGCTGTGTCTTCTGATCTTTTGACCATGACACTTTTGGTGTTCACCTAGTGAAACAAGGAATGATTTCCAACAGTCCTACTTGGGCTCTAGTCACACAGCCATGCCACAGGAAAGGCAACTTTCAGCAGCATGGTGGCCACCTGTAGGCAGCTCAGAATCATCCACTGGCCTCTAAAAAGAAAGAAGTCTTTGAACTCACAACCAGTGCAAATTGTCTGCCAGGCAAAAAATACCCTTAAAAATGCAAATAGAAGCAGGGGAGCTCTCTGCCATTTGCTGGGAGCTCAATATCCCACAAATATTTATTCCAACTGGCTGGGAGAAAGAGGTGAGGGAAAGCTGCATTTCAAAACTAGCACTGAGCAAGCACTTCAAAGGGCAAGGGCAATCATTGCATGCCACATGAGGCCCAGCCTGAAGGGATCGAGAGAAAGGAAAGGAATCAAATCAAGAGCAAAAGGAGAAGAGGCTATAGTTACAAGTGTAAAAGCTCCTTCCCCACAGGAAGAGGACTCGCATTTAAAAAAAACATGGGGGTCCTGAAGCTAGTCAGTCACCCATAATGAAGTTGACTGGGACACCCACAGTCCAGCTGCATCCCAGGCATCTTCTCCTTCAGAAATCCTAAGATTCCAGGAAACCTCACTCACTTGCAGGCTCTTTCACATTTGAGCCAAACCAAATAAGTTGCTTTCTTGAAATTCAAGTGAGAGCTGCAGCATGAGGTCCTGGTTTTCTGAACTCACCTGAGACTTCTGGAAGGGATATCTTCTGGCAGACTCAGATGAATGATAGGGTGCCCGGCTTGACCGCTGGCCTGGATCCTGGCATACAAAGCCTGGATGAGAAGGGAAAGTCATATAAGAACCTTCAATTTCTGGGAATCCTAAGCAGCCCATTAAATTCAAACCCAGCATTCCCAGCAACAATGTCAACTAACCCAGGGGTCTCTCTACCCTGAACAAGACCTAAAGAAGTTCGCCTCTACATTCAATCCTTGAGTCTCCACACTGCATTACATTTTTGGCAGAATACTGAAAAGAGCACCCCTTTCACCTGAGAGCACTCAATCCTTAAAAGAGCTGGCAAGTCTGTTGTGGTGGAAAGGTAGGGGGGAGGGAACAGGTGTGAGGGGGGCAGATCAAGGCCCCCACCGTGAGGAAGTGGGGCAGGGGCTGGCCAGACACTGCCCAGCCAGGGCAAGGTGGGGCGCAGGGAGGGGGCGGCTCCCAACGCTGCACACACCCCAGGAGGGCACGGTGGGGGGGCAGCAGCGGGCGGGCGGGAGGCGTGCCCCGGATCTGTGTGGGACAAGGCAACTGCCACCGCAGCCTGGGGCCAGGTCTGTGCCGGGCTTTTCCTGGCAGGGGCTGGGCCAGGCTGCGTTCAGGGTGGGGCAGGCGGTGGCAGCACTGTAAGAGGGGTTTGGGGGGAGGGAGGGCTATGGCAAATTTCTGAGTGGTTGCAATGATCCCAATTCCAGCAGTGCTACCACCTGCCCCAAGCGCAGCCCAAGCCAACCCCTGTTGGGAAGAGCCTGGCACCAACCCAGCCCCAGCTTGTAGCTGCAGCCCACCCCGCACAGATCAAGGGGGGCACACACATTCCCCCATGCTCTCCAGGGGTGCATGCAGGAGCAGAAGCCACCTCTCCACTATACCCCCAGACAAGTGCCCTGCCTTGCCCAAGCCAGGCATCACCTGCCCCAGCCCCACCCCCTCCCTCACTGCAGGGGCCTCAATCTGTACCCCACATGCCCCTTCCCTTCCCCCTCCCCTTCCACCACAACAGACTTATCAGCTGCTGGGCTGCATATTGGAAATTGGATCAGTATCAGCCAGTACACTTCCTTAAAAATCAGCTACTGGTATTGGCCCCAAAGATCTCTGTCGGTGCACCCCCAGATATCACATTTACTCAAAGAACCTTATTTGCCTAGAAGCCTTCAAAACACACAAGAGAAGGCAATTGTAGATCCTGCACAAAACAGACCACTTGCAGCTTTCTCTTTTGGCTGCATATTAGCCTCCCCACAACTTATTAAATCTTGACCTCTACTGATACTCCCTCATCTATGACAAGGGTGCTTAGCCTCCGGCCCATGGGCCAAATGTGGCCAGAGGAGCCATGGTATTTGGCCCACAGGGCTCCCCACAGATCAGGAAATTTAGTGGCAGGGGAGTGGTGTCAAGTAATGCAACCACTCATCCCTGCTGCCAAATTCCCAAGCCCCACACAGTGGGTTGGGGCTGGACCATGCCCCCTCCCCTCCCCTCCCCTTACCTCAGCAGTTAGATCAGGGCTGGGCCACGCTCCTCCCCACCTGCAGCTACATCAGGGGTAGACAGCAGGCCACATGGGGTTTTACCAAGCTACCACAGGCCAGGTCAGCACACCCCAACATGTAACAACTCACCAAAACTCCCTATGTGGGATGAGGCCATGGTTGGGCTAGGAACATAGTTCAGGAGTGGGATGAGCAGGCAAGGCTGGGATCATGGAGTGGTGTCACAGAGCATTGACAGCACAGGGCCAGGGCAGAGCGATGATCCACTCCCAGAACACCCCTGCAATGGGCGCCAGTTCCACAGGCAGGGGCGTACAGGGAGCAGATTGTGACCCTACCCTGCCCTGCCCCGTTACTATCCCAAGATCCTGGACGTGGCCCCAGACGCAAACTCCCTGCATGCCTGTGGTCCCATCCTGTCTGCCTGGCCACATGGCCTGCCTGAACCCTCTCACAGAGATCCCGGGCTCACAGGGCAGTAACAGCAAAGAGGTACAGCAGAGCTGAGATGTGCTCCCTACAAGTCCCTGCCCACAGAACCAGAGCCCTGCCCCGGTGCTGTCACTGTCCCGCAAGCCCAAAGTCTCCATGGACCAGTCAGGAGCCACGCAGGCAAACCGCTCTGCTAGGTGAACGCAGAGCAGAGGCAAACCACTCTGCTAGGGCAACGATGGGGCTGCGGGAGAGCAGGTAGGGAGCTGGGTCCAGGATTTTGGGGCAGTGACATCACAGGGCTGAGCCGTGATCTGCTCCCTGAACACCCCTGCCCACAGAATACATGCCCGTCGCAGGGCCATTCAGGGAACAAATTACAGCTCTACCCCAGGCCCGTGCTGTCACTAACCTGCGACCCTAGGGTCTCCTCAGCCCTGCCTGCCCATCTCACTGCCAGACACCACTCCCCACCAGCCCATTCTAGCCACCCATCCGAGCACCCTACCCACATGTGTTCCACTCCCACCAGTGGGTGCTGGGCAGATAAGCTGGGGTGCCTGGACAGGGGGGCTGGGTCCAGAGTGACAACTGGAAGGAGCCACCTCTGCCACCACCAGGGCTGCTGAAAAATGGAGTCCAGCTGCCACACTGTCCCAGCTCTGCTGCATGCCTGGGAGCAGCAGGACTGGCTGCATATGCCAAGGCTCGGGCTGCCCCTTCTGCCTTCACTGGGTGGGACCAAAGGACCCACTGTGGGCCAGATCTGGCCCACAGGCTGTATTGTACCCATCACTGAGCTACATTGGGTCCGGGCCCTGCCCCTCCCTGGAAGCTGCACTGAAGTTGTGTCCTGCCCCTCCCTAGCAACTGGATTAGGACTGGGTCACGCCCCTCCTCTGCAGCTATATCAGAGCTGGGTCACACACCCTCCCTCCCCAACAGCTGGGTCTAGGCTGGGCCACATATCCTCCCCCCCAGGAGCTGGATCAGGGCTGGGCCACACCCCTCCCCCTCCCCCCACCCTTGCACCTGGATTGGCACCAGGCCACACCACTCCTCCCAGGATCAGGGCTGAACCACATCCTCTCTTCCCCTGGCCACCACCACCCTGTGGGGACAGGTGGGTTACTGCTGTGCCAGCCCCAAGCACTGAATTGGGACCACTAGCCAGATCCAGCCTGTGGATGGACTGGGCACTGCCCATCTGGCCCACTGGCCAAAAAGGTTGAGCACTACTAACATAGCACATTTTTCTCTCCTACAACAGTGTATAGACCATAAACTACATCCATGCTACTCTATACACACAAATTCCCTGTACTCAATACACTCATTCTAACCAGAATCCCCAGTCATTGTATTATACACCCAGGTCTCAAAACTGAAAACTTCTATTCAAACCCAGTCAACACACCATGCAAAAACTGTCTTAATATGAAGAACATGAAGTAAAGATTCAAACAGAATACGTTTAATGCACTCACCTACAAGGGTGAACATGTCTGAAATCATGCTAGCTTTGATCTTCAGGTCCAAAGGAGCATCACTGTCCCCGCATGCAACAAGAGACAAGAGGAGCATTAAATAAAAAAAAGCACTGGTATCCAACATTCCCCTTCACTGTATTCCCAGTGCATCCATTCTGAGCAAGCACAGGCAGAATGAAATGGGTAAGGGAGAAGAAAGTCTAGTCTAGCATGCACTAAACAAAAACAAAACAAACCCCCCAACATGTGAATCTATGTGCGTCTACAAAATTTTTAGTTTATTGAATTCTATTCCTTTTTCCCCACACAATTGCTATATCATGTACAGGTTCATCTGTGTTCTTGTTGGGTAGAAACTATTTGGATCTGTACTTCATTTAGAAGATTGGGTGTTATTGCAATACATATATTAAACCATGCCACAACATGTAGAAGTGACAGACTAACAGATCCTAAGAAGCAAAGAACAAATGACTGGAGGAAATGGATGGGCCCTGAAAGAACAGACGGACACACGGAACAGATGCAGGGGAAAACAAGAAGCACGTGTGTTCTTACGCACAAGGATTTTGAATTAAATTTATCAGAACTAAAAGACAGGATAAGTCTTTCAGGCCTTGGCTTTTATCACAGGAGCATAATGACAGAAGCATCATGTTCTTTAATCTGTGGAAAATACAGATGAACTAGGCACAGAAGCTGGCACTACCAGCAGAACAGAGAGCAAAATGCAATAAGAAACTAGGTATGCAGGCATGTATGTACACAATAATAGACCCAGAAGATTAGTTTTGCTACAACATTCTGAATGGAGTTAAGACAGGGGTAAAATGGGTATTATAAAAGTCAGAGAAGCAGTTATGATGAGGTTAATCATGGTACAGACATGCTTTTAGCTGCCTAAGTAGGGAGGAAGTGATATCTCTGATGTATTATGTACCTGAAAACAATTTGTATGTGAGGAGAAAAATGAGAAATCAACTAGGACCCTAGATATGATGATTTAGGACAATGATACATAACTTATGAATACTGGAGTATATAGATAAGTTGTTATGCAGCTGTTACTATGAAAATAGTGGTATCAAATGCTTCTGTGTGAATGTGTATCCATCTAGCTAACAAAGCCTCCAGCACCTCTCTCTCAGACTAAATGCAATGAAGTGTCATTACAGTTAACTGTACTCTAATTTGACAACTGGTATGCTAAGGAGGCGAAACCCAAGAGAACCAGTTTTCTCTTACCTGTCTGCAGGGGGCTGGAGTTCGGAGATTGGAAAGTTACCAAACACACAACAAAGAAGCCATGGTGTTGGAAGCAGGATATACAAACTGCAAAAGCCTCATAGAGGTTCACAAGAAGCATTGGGCAGGAGTGGAGAAGATATTAGCATGCTTTTGCAGCAGGTGAGGCTCAGTTTAGCTGTGGAACCAGCCAAGGTCAGAGAAGGCAAGCTGGGCTGAAAAGACTCCATGGTTCAGATGACAAGCCACAAGCTACACAGAAGAACCCTGGACCATCCCAGAGCACCTTACCCCAATCCAAAGAACACACTTACTCCTCAAAGAATGTGGAGGAAACTGAGACAGGGAAATGCTTGCTTTTTACCTTTTTATATTTGGGTCTATGCATTCTTGTGCCTTAACTAATAAACAAAGAGCAGTAGTGGTTTCAGAACCCTCTGCAAGCCTATTTATGTGCAAGCATTTCATGGAGTACCAGCCATATACTCCAGAAGAACTAAACTGTAGCCCAGAGTAGTAAAACTAGAGTTCTCGAAGGGCACACCTACACATGCACTTTAATGTGCATTAGCCTATTTTAATGCACATTAAAGCATCACAAAAAACATGCACTTCCACTAACGCATATTAAAATAGACTTATGTGACTTTTTCTCGTACCTCACAATGGAGGTACTTAAATTTAAATGCACATTAGAAAAAGTGCATTAATTAAAACATGTAGACACCTCTAAAAAGTGCATATTTAAGCCACAGAAGAGTCTGAGGAATAAAAGCACTGGACCCAGGTGATTGGTAGTTCTGTTTCAGATCTCAGCAGGGAATGCTACTTAGTGGACCAGCATCCCAATAGTACATCTAGAGACTGAAACCAAGGGGAGTACCTAGACTCTATTCTGACTTTGGAGGCTTAAAGTACAGTGGACTCAGACAACTGAGATCCAGAAGAGCTGCCTGAGGAGTATCTGACAAAAGTGGGAGCTTGACCAGATCTATGACACAAAGCTATGTGGCAACAGCAATAGTAAAAGAGTGGAAGGATAAAAAAAATTAAAAAAAAATAAGGAGAACATGGAACCCCAACTGGACTCCTTTAAAAACCGTGCTGAACTGTGGTCACTTTAACAAAAGAAAAATCAAAGGAAATCCACTCTGAAAGCCTATTAGTAGTGGAATACCACCACCATGGGCTTGACTTAGCCATGCCCTCTGAGGATCACTAGCTGAATCTGGCATGGCCAGCAATTTCATCCTACTTCATGAAGATCCCAACTTTTTCTTTGCTTAAATCGAGGAATCACTTACCAGGCCAGGGATGGAGACAGGTTCACTTCCAGCAACCAAGGCTTGAGAGTAGCATCAATAAGGACATCAAAACCATACAGCTCTGAAAACACAACAGACTGTGTGTCTTTCACATATGATAAGCACTGAAAGCCTGTTGGGGCACTTCTAACCCAGCTGCCTCATTTAGGCCTACTGATCCCTCAAAATTCAATGAAGCTCAAATGCCCTCCCCAATAGGAGGCTGGCTTCCCCAAAATGGAGAATAAATACACTTCTAGTTTGGGACGACAAGGGAGGGAAGCAGAAGAGTAGTCCTAGAAAGACAGGTAGAGAGAAAAACTTGAATGAAGAAAAAAAGAATGAGATAAGGAGAAGGCAAGAACTAATACAACTCTAGCTTCCCAAAATCTCAGCATTGTGCAGAATTCAGCTACCTGCCTTTTCCTGGCATAAAGCAACATAACCACATCATCCCAACCTCTCATACTTCTACTTTTTTCCAAGATCTTATGTAAAACAAACATTTTCCTTCCTTTTAAAACTCTATTTATGTCTTATTTCAGTCTGCCATAGGAATCTCCTTTCTTTCCATTGCCATCCCATCTCCACTTACTCATCTTATTTTATGCCTAGCATATATACTCAGATTTAAACCCCATGTTTGTGCAAGAGCCTTCTTCTCTGCATCTGTCATCTGGAGAACCTTCTAATAACTCTCTGCCTTTGTGATACTCCATCAACTTTGCAAATCACTGCAAAAACACCTCTCTCTCAGCAGCTAATATGCCTCTCACTTGGACTGTATTACGTGTGCTAGATGTACTCTTCAGAACACAGGTCAGATTGAAGCCAGCTTCCCATTCCACGTCTGACTTTATTGTTTCAGCTCTATGCAGCATGCTCACTCTATTTTGGGATACAGTTTGCAAGAAAGATGCTACACAAATATGGCTGTAAATAAGATGTTGGCACCACAGTGACTCCCTGGCACAACAGTAAGCGTGAGAGACAGCTAATGATCGTCAATACAACTGCTGCACATTTTTTCAAAATGTCGCAGAACAGCAGATTGGCACCAGAGGAGGATTTCCATGGAATTAACCAGTTTCCAAGTGCCTGGAGCAAAAGCAAGAAAATTTATTTGCCATGCTGCTTTCCTTGAATTCTGGCCCCAGCATTTTGTCGCCTTCCTAACGTTCATGCTGGCTCCAGGGAGCTGGACTGCTTGACAAGATCTTCCTATGCAGACAGCTGTGCGAGGGCTCATGTAGCTTGTGATGGGAAGTTAATGAGCTGCAGGGGGACTCAGAGGGGGAGGAAATGGCAGCAGAATTTGTGAATGTTGCCTGCTCATTTCTTTGGGTCCTGGAGCCAGACAGTAAGTGGGAAGAATAACAACTCAGAGCTGAACAGTTGGGTCCACTTAAAGAAAATTAGGCTAGTACAGATTTGGGTCTTTTGCTCCCCAGACTGGGAAGGCTGTAGTAGGAGAGAGGAGGAGGAGTAGATTGCAAGTGCGGACATTTGTTAAGCATTTTGAATATGAGAAACATCGCTGTAGGCTAAACAATTTTTTCCGCAAGATGGTTCCAGGCACAAGTGAGGACCTTGAGGCTGCCAGCATACAATAAACTTTGGAAGACAAGGCGGAAGCTAATCCTCAAGGTGGAAGAACAGTAAGTGGTCTGTCACAGCAAACTGGTCTGCAAACTACCCTCCCTCAAGTCAAAAAATAAAGATAGACTTTTAGTTGGACTCTGGATACCTTTTTCTTCTGCTGTTTAACCATTTCCTGTTCTCTCTTTCTCTGTCCCCTAGAGTGCTTTACTAATAACTTCATCCTCCATTCTACTTTCCAGCATTCTTCCCTATTTCTTCTTTCTTCTCTTTCTATATACACCTACCTTCCCATTCCTACACTTTCCCCTCCCTGAAATCTTAATAACTAATCCCAGTGTTTTCCATCCTCCTAACCCCAGGTGATCCACTTTAAATATATATAAGAATGTTCTGGGAGATCCATTTGCTGGTCATCATCACTGTGGTCACTTTCTTGGTATACTGATCCCCTTTCACATTCACCTGTCTTTGCTGTTGAGACGGTAAATTGTTTAGGACAGACCATGTCTCTAGGTATTTCTGTGCAGTGCTCAAGACAATAGGGACCCTATCTCTCACTACTGCAACACACAAAATAGTGGACCATCATATTCTGCAGGCAAAGGTTCCCAACTTACGCTGAGAAAGCATAAGAAGGGGAAGTTCACGTGACCCCAAAAAGGAGCAGGGCCTTCTTCTCTAAAGCCACCAGCTGCAAGCCTAGCTACCACTCCCCTTTGTAAACAGTTTAGAGAGCTGAGTGACTGAAAAAGGATTGTGCTCTGTGATCTCTCTTCAGCCTATGGTGGTGACAGATGTAGATCTGTGACAGCCCATCTTGTACCACTAATGTTATTAAGGGGAAAATGGGGAAAGCTGTGGGATCAGGTTTCCACAGCTCCTCAGATAATGCTCTTATTCCCCTCCCCCAGCTACCACAAGCCACAAAAACCTGCTTCATCATCATAGCTTGCTTAAGAGTTTGACATTATATCAGGAAGCAGCATCTGCTGCCAAGACTTAGCAATGTGAGCAGGAGTCTCTGGTGACAGGACTTCCAAACCCTCCATACTAGAAGAGCTTAAGAATATCCCCTCTCTGCATAATTCCGATAGCAGACTACCACTGCTTATTCTTTACAGCTTAATTCAACATACTGGAAGATATGGGATAATTCCTACTGTCCTGATGTAGCTCCATTCCTCAAAGCACAAACAGTTTTGCAGCTCCCAAAAGGAGGCAGGGCTAAGAGCATAGCCACTTAATCTGCCTGCTGGTCTCCCTTGGGCAGTTTATAGATGGCCACCAGATCCCTTCTCAGCTTTCTCCTGTGGAGGCTTAACAGGTTCAGGTTTTGTAGCCTCTCCTTGTATGCCTGCCCTGCTGACCCCTGATCATGTGAGTGGCCCTCCTCTGGACCTTCTCAATGTTGTCCACATCCCTCCTAAAGTGCAGCGCCCAGAACTGAATGCAATACTCCAACTGTGGTCTGACCAGTGTCGCATAGAGGGGGAGGATCACCTCCTTGGACCTGCTCGTGATGCATCTGTGAATGCATGACAAGGTGCGATTAGCCTTCCTGACTGCGTCCCCACATTGGCGGCCCATGTTCCTCTTGGATCTCTACTTATTGTTAAGTAACTTCAAGCTACTTCCATAAGGGTTACCCTCATTCCACTGAGGGTGGCTCCAAAATAATGATTCAATCGGCCCACCTGAAGGTGGGATCTCCGAGTCTTAGGAGTACAATAACTGAAGCACTGATTTGCTGAACGCATGATTGGATTTCCAGGGAGCTCTACAGATATCTATCTAATATGGATACATTTCTCTGTAATGCTGGGGATGCCACTTGAGCTCTGGTGAAATGTTCCCCAGTAATCAAGGCTGATTCTCTATGGTTCTCTCACAGTCTGTTCTTACACGCTTAAGATATGAATTTGAAAAGTCAAGGTGGAAATCATCATGCCTGTCATCCTTTCTGCTATAAGCACAAACAGCCCTATGATATCTAGTTTTTTCTTGGGTATGACAGCTTTTGGGGCATTTACTTTTAGACCCAAATCCCAGGCCAATTGGAAGATGCACCAAATGTTTTCAAACAGCAGTAGGTAAGACTTGCCCCACACTAGTCAATCCAAATAAGGGAACACAGTGATATATGGTTCCTCTTCAAGTAGACTGCTATCATCACAAGCACCTTGGTGAATATCCTCAGAGTTCAGAACAGGGTGGGGGGAAAGACAGGAAAAGTGATGGGCTAGGAGCTGACCTGAATATCTAGGCAGATAAGATCATGTCCAAATCCTACTAGTCTTTGGTAATATGAACCCCTGCATGGCCAAAATACACAAAGCCTGAAAGGGTGCCTGATCAGTTCTGAGATCATTAAATATTATTGGATCTCTCAAAAAAACCCTCAAAATGATTTTTTTATGGCTGGAGGCAAGTAAGATTGCTGAGATGTCACAGTGAACTGGCTCTACCTGCAAAACAGTCTCTTAAGCAGTTCAGAGGATCTATAGCGGAAGGAAGTGGGGTACATAGTCAGTCTTGGAGGGGCAAACAAGTCTTGCCTGTTGTGCTTTCCTGTTAGAGAAAGTACATCTTACTTTGAGGAAAACTGGCTCACCCTGAAGGCAGAAAAACTAACAGAAATGGAAGGAAAAGAAACAAGGCTCAGAAATCCACGATCCAGCCCTCCTTTTAACCACTACGCATGGCATTTGCCAGAATCTGCGGTTCTAGGATCAGCCTTATTAGCCATCAACAGACTCATTTACAACCCTTTATTTGACCCATGGGAGTTGGATCATGCTTGACTATGAGGGATTGCTGATGACAACAAGTACTAAGGGAACAAAGCAGTGTATTTCAAAGTATACCTTGCTTCATCCATTTTGGCACTAATTATCTCCACTCCTTTAAGAGCAGTTCCTCCACCATAGCTGCAAACCCCTGCTCTTGCAGACAAAACAACCTCCATGCAACCACCTCTATTATTATGGAGTGAGTCACAATGTCAGTGACATTTAAAGAGGCCTAAAACCTGATTTTGGACAGCATTTGGCCACCCAGACAACCTTCTTTAGAGTTTAGTGGCAGGCTATTCATGAGAGAAGGAAGTTTCTTACAGACCTGAAGTCACACCTTAACAACAAGGCTTGAAAATTTGCAACCCTAAATGTTAGATTCACAGAAGGATTTGCTAATCACCCCCAATAAATCCAGCTCCTTTAACTCCTTGACTTTTGGAATGTTTTTATACATGTGGCTTTCTTGTTCTCCATCATACATATGGGGAAGGACAGACCCAGGTCAAAGCAGTAATATTCCTGGGTAGAACCTACGATATTTGTCTAACTTATCTCATGTTTTCCCCAGTACCCCCACCTTTCTGGAGAGGAAGAGTGTCGAGTGTCAGTTTCCACTATTACTTCCAAGAGCAGGACATAATCATCTCCCTGAATGCAGACTGTGTTGGTTTGACCTTAAAATGCT